TCAGGGTGTCTTCATGTCACGAGGTTTTGGTTACTCCTGTCAAAGTTTTCAACATCAGTTCAGACCAGACCAACATGGGAGGTCTTTTTAGTCATTATGAACTCTAGTAGAGCCGTAAACATTGGTCCCCAGCTTCCCAATTTGCTCCAGTGATCCATATTTTAACAGCAAAGACTGGAAATTAAATTTGTGCAGCCATACATGACCCTCATCAAGCCTTTCTGATTCCCTCTTTCCCCAAATAGCCACAGGCCTTTCTGCTGCACAGTAAAATGTGTGGAAAACTCTGGATGGATCGCTGCAAAATATAATTAGCAACGTTTATTACTTATGACAGCAGCGTTCACCTGGTTTTTCATCAAGCTCCATCATCGGTATATGCAAAAAAAAACAACAACAAATAAATAAATAAACAGTGACACACTCATCAACCTCAGCTAGTTTTGCACCCATTTAAAAAAGTTTCGCTGGCTACAGGCTAAATGGAGGTGTTGAACGCCACACATTACCTGCTAGACAAACATGCTGATGTCTAAATTTACTTCTAAATGCCTCTCTGACCTAATATGGCTGCTTATCGACCAAAAATAAGAATATTAAAGGATATTTTTATATTACATTATGTCTCACTATATATATATATATATATATATATATATATATATATATATATATATATATATATATTACTCTTAACGACCAAAAACAATAAGATAAGTAACAAAAAAAAAGTTTAATTTAACCTGATATGATGTTACTCATATGCTACATGCACTTTGTTACCCACCCTGTAAAGGACGTTTTGCAGCCATGTGGAGCGCCTTTTGTTTCTGCACAAATATCTTCGGGCAGCTGCAAAAAATACAACCAATCAACTAAATGTGTATACATATGGGTGTTTAAATGCAAAATGCTTTGTTTAACAGATATCTAAAATGTAAATAAATAATTGAGTTACAGAGCAGCTGTCTTGGTAGATACCTGTAGTTTAGCCGAAGGGGTAGATAATTACAGCAGTGCAGAGGTGTTAGCGTTCACACGCCAGGCGTGAGACTCACTTTGAACTTGTTCTCATTCAGAATAAGTGAAAATACAAAAAGTGGCTGCAGTTAAAGGAAAAACTAACACACCGACACATGGTGTCTTCATCAGGTCAGAGGCAGGCAATCATGCTAGATCTAAAACAGGTGTTCTCACAGGTGTCACTGGAAAGAAGCCTGTTGGTCTGTTACACGAGGGTGGGACTCATCAGAAGTGTCCAACCAGAGGACAGAAACCGTAAAATCATCACAAACAACACATTTAAACAGCCTTTAGTTATCCAAGGAACAAAATGAGCCATTTCTGGTTTTTACTTATGAATAATAGTATCACATAAAGATACAAATGTTTTCAAACCCTGTATGTGACACAGCAAGTGTGTGTTCTGAAATCAAACATGTACACGTGGTTAGAAATTAACCATCATGCTCCAACTTCTGTACTCTAGGCAAAGAGGTGTAGCTATTTTAATACACAAAAACATCAATTTCACAGTATTGGACACAGTTTCTGATCCAGAGGGTAGATTTATAATGTTAAAAATATCTGTACAGAACCAAAGCTTATGTATTGTCAGCATATACTGTCCAAATATTGACGACCCTTCATTCTTTCATAATTTTTTCTCCGTATTCTCCGAACACTTGGACAGTCCAATTATACTTGGAGGCGATTTTAATTTTTGGAAGAACACTTTAACAGACAGGCTCAGTACAGGTGGGACTCAGCGCAATTGGCAATCCACTAACATAGTTAAACAGTACATAAGTGATTATGGGCTTTGTGATGCATGGCGATCTCTTCATCCTAACCGTAGAGAGTATACTTTTTTTCTCACACATCCATCACTCTCATTCATGTTTGGATTATTTTCTAGTCAGCAGTTCATTGGTGGCTGACATTTCAGACACTGAGATACACCCCATAGTTGTCAGCGACCATGCGCCAGTTTCTTTAACTCTGGTAAACAAGAAGACAATCTCACCAAGCAAAAACTGGAGGTTTAATACATCACTGCTTAAAGATGAAGGTTTTATAGATTTTTTTTTAAAGGAGTGGGCTTTATATTTAGAACATAATGACCTGCCTGGAACATCAGCATCTATTCTCTGGGAGGCAGGAAAGGCAGTGATGAGAGGTAAAATAATCTTTCTCATCACATAAGAAAAAAACAGAAAACAAAAGTATTCAGGAGTTAAAAGAAATCATTAAGTCTTTAGAGGCATCCACAGAAGAAGAGTTACTGAGCAAATTACGTAAAGCAAAATTAGAACTTCATGGAATTATTGATAAACAGACACAATTTTTATCACAAAGACTACGAATAGAAAACTTTGAACATAGTAATAAATCAGGTAAATTTTTAGCTAACCAGTTAAAAATAAATAAAGAGAAAACTACCATATCTGCTGTTAAAGACTCAACCGGGAATATAGTTTATGATCCTGAAAGAATAAACAACACTTTCAGAGACTTTTACCAAACGTTGTACTCACCACAGATAAACCCATCAGATAACGAGATCAATGAGTTCCTTGACAGGATAACACTTCCTAAATTATCAGACAGCCAAGTTACAGTCCTGGACTCGCCACTAACATCAGCTGAGCTCCAGGAAGCCCTTAAATCCATGACTAATAGGAAAGCTCCAGGTCCAGACGGGTTTCTAGCAGAAGTCTACAAAGAAGTCTGGATCATTCTGGCTCCAATATTTTTCACAATGGTGAGGGAAATCGGAGAGTGGCAGATTACAGCCAACATGAACTCAGCCAATATTAGTCTCTTGTTAAAACCAGGCAAAGACCCTGCATTTCCTACCAGCTTCTCTTGTTAAAACCAGGCAAAGACCCTGCATTTCCTACCAGCTATCACCCAATTTCTATTAACTATTATCACTTAAGAAAAAGAGACTTTAATTTGCTCAATATTTCAACTTTATTCAGGAAATCAGATTTCAACATGGCTGACTTTTGCCTGAGGGGAGCTAACGCTCCAGGTGAGGTCAAACGTCCAATTAAAAAAAAAAGGGGGGGGGGGGGGGGGGGACAAAAAGCTGTGATATGAGTACAGCAACTCTTTTTGTGTCACTGGATGAAACGTCCTTCCCTTTAAAGTAGGGTTGGAGGAAAAAATTAACTTGCTGTCCCTTAAAAGGTTTTTCTTTTAAGTCCCAACTCTGTGTGGGAGGCCCACAAATAGCCCCCGTGCTTTCAGAGCGAGAAGCATCAATTAAGAGCAGAAATCCAAAATAAAGGAACCCGCCTCTTGAAAATCTGAGTGTTCTCTATCAGGAGCGGTGGCCAATTAACGGAATAATTAACTGAACTAACGTCTCTCTTAAACGACTGTAACAGGCCACTGTGACAACGACAAGTGTATTTTAATTAAAGTGCCCTCCAGTTAGTGTGTGCATTTATAAAGCCCACAAGGGACTCTTTTCCAGGCAAAAGAGATGTTCAACGAACGGCTGTTTGCTGCGTGTGAATCGTGATCTCTTCTCTATTGTGGCCTAAATTGGTTGCACATTGTTGTCAAGCATGGATGAGTTGAAAAAACCCCAAACAAATGAAAAAAACAACCATTATTCTTCCACGCTCACACCAAAAACGCTCGTCTCCACTTCCAGCTCTGTGGCTTTCCTTATGGGCATCCAATGAAGCGTGCAGATCAGAGTCGAAATTAAAGAGGGATCTGTAATGAGACTCCCCCGAAGCCCCCAGAGTCACGGAATAACAAGACATCCCATAAATAAGACACGCTGAACAAGATCATGAACGAGCAAGATGTGCAGGAAGTAGGGAGTGGGACGGGCAGACAAGGGCAGGAAGTCTAGCGATGTCTTCGTGATGCACCAGCATACCGTCTCCTCTCCGTGGGGACGAATGTTAGGTTTGTGCAGCAGAAATGTCATGTTGCTGTCACACCGAGGGCAGGAACGCCTCCACAGATACAAGTCTTGTTTCTCAGATTGAAAAGTGAATCCGTGTCAGGTTGAAGAGATTTCTTTTGCTTTGAAATGATGCAAAAAATCCATTCACTTTCTTACCTGAAAGATTTATTCCAGAATAATAATAATAATGATAATAAACCAACTTCCCTTTGAAGCCAGGAAGTCACTCTAATGCTTAAAGGATATCAGTTTTAGATCTTAAGGTCGTCCTTTTTAAGGAAAAATCAAAAGATAAACTTCAGGCACGATTTTTACTGTTTAAAACATGAAGAAAATCTTTCTGGAATAAAAAAACGAGTCTTAATTTCATGGAGGGCGATTAGGGCCGCAAAAGAAAGTTCAGGTTTTTTTTCCTGAGAATTCTGATTTTTGTCCTCAGAGTTCATTTCCCTCAGAATTCTGACTTTAATCTCAGAATTTTGACATTTGCCCCAAGAATTGTGACTTTAGTGTCAGACTTCTGGATTAATCTAAGAAATCAGACCATTTTTCTCAGATGTCTGATTCTTGTCCTCAAAATTCTGACTTTAATCTCAGAAATCAAATTTTAATGAAATCAGATTTTAATGTACGATTTTTGACTTTGAGCTCAGAATTCTGACTTTAGTATCAGAATTTTGATTTTAATCTACAACATTTGACTTTTCCCCCTCAGATTTATGACATTAATCTCAGAATTCTGACTTCAATACCAGAACTCCAACTTTAGTCTCAGAATTCTGTGATTGATTTCACAACAGAATAATCTCAGAAATCTATATTTTTCAGAATTCTGACTATAATATCAGAAATTTGACAATTTTCCTCAGAATTCTGACTTTTGTTCACAGATTTCTGACATTAATCTAATAATTCTGAATTGAATCTTAGAACTTTGAGAGAAAAAGTCAGAATTCTTTTTTTGTTGTTTTTTTCTCCAGTTGGCTTAATCCTAATCCGTATAAATTAGTGCAACAACAATAACAGCAACACAATTTAGGTTGTTTAAAAAGCAGAGTTGCAGAAATGATACTGTGTTGTTTTCTCAAGTTTATTCAATCTGTGGTTATCAAAGACGATGCCCGAAAACATAAGTTATGGAAAAAAGCCTTCATTAGTTATTTTTTAATAAACATTGGCTTATTTTTCCTCATTAATATTAAAATAGCAGAGAAAAATAAACAAACAACACTGATGGACAGAAAACAGCAAAAAAATATGTCATAAAGGACATTAAATCAGTGGAGTGCTTTTATATAAAAAAAACCTTGGACCAGCTCCCGTGTGTGTGTGTTTGTGTGTCACAAGTTACTGCACTTAACCTTGTAATAGTAAAGTGACGCAGTTTGTCGTTTGCTCCAAGTGCTTCACTGACACCGCCCTCCGTCAGCCGAACGCATCAGAAAATAAAAACACACCAATAATCAGGCACCGCATGGCCCCTAAAATAGCACACTTAGCCACTCAATCTCTTACACACACACACACACACACACACACACACACACACACACACACACACACACACACACACACACACACACACACAGGCATGCACGCACGCACACACACACACAAATACATGCACACACAAGAGCATGCATGCACACTCGCGCACACACACACACACACACTCATGCACACACACAGGCATGCACACACACACACACACACACACACACACACACACACACACACACACACACACACACACACACACACACAAATACATGCACACACAAAAGCATGCATGCACACTCATGCACACACACACATGCATACATGCACGCTTGCACACACACGTGCGCACGTGCAACCCACACACACACACGCATACACCCCCTCCACACACACACACACACACACACATGCACACACACGTGCGCGCGTGCCACACACACACACACGTGCATACTCCCCCCCCCCCCCCCCCAAACACACATACACACACTGTACAGTACACAATGCCCAAGCCCCATACATACAAAATTAAGACCATTTAAACATTTGATAAAAGCACAAAATTGTTTTGTAAAATGAATTGCACGAGGAGATGAGGTGGAGGAAGCACGGTGAGGAGGAGGAATAGTAGGGCCAACATGAAAAGAGGAAGATACAGAACAATCAGTAAACAAATATAAAAATAAACAACGTGAGGAAAAGAAAACAGAAAGAAGGCAAGCTCTGAATCAAAACCACCAGAGAGAATTAAATTAAAATCAGACCACTTAGTGTCAGTTGGGACTTTTTGTTGTTTTTTTCTTTCCTTCAGTCGTTGATTTGAAGCTCATGCTGGAGCACACCAGCCTTACCGTAGTCCTGCTGTCGTCTCAGGAGGGAGAGCCCGGTCCAATCAGGACCTTTTTAATTGTTTTATTTAAAAATCAAAGTTCACGTCTACATCTCTACAAACCCAACGCGACAGCATCAGGCTGGTCGGGGGAGCAGTGGTAGGGTGCAAGTCTTCCTTTACCTGACATATGTTACACAAGTGAACACACACACACACGCACGCACGCACGCACGCACGCACGCACGCACACACACACACACACACACACACACACACACACACACACACACACACACAGTGCATTCTCATTCCTATCGCCCCTGGGTACAGGCCTTTTCTTTGCTTCTCAGCTTAGCGCAACGAGGACGCCTCTCTCTTCTGTACAAAAGCAGCCTCCCTCCCTGGAACCGGAGACTATGAGGTTCTTCATCCTCTTTTAGTTTTCCATTTTCCTCTTTTACTTGTTCTGAGAGCTGAGCAGTTTGTCGGCCTCGGGGTACAGTGGATACTTCACCGTCTCGATTTTCTCCTTGACCTTGTAGGAGGGGTAGAGGCCGGTGCGTCCCAGTTTGCGGTTGATGCCTTTGGAGTAGCCGTCCCAGTGGTTGCCGGCTACGCCGATGACGTCGCCCGGCTCCAGGGGAATGTCCTCATTGCTGCGCGGCTGGTGCGGGTAGATTGCGATCTGATTGTGGGCGTTCTGACCTCCGAAGTAGTAGATGTCGTCCAGGGAGTAGAAGAAGGAGGAGGCGTCTGGATGCAGCGTCTGCATGATCTCATAGGCCACGCGGCAGACCTGACGAACAAACACAAAGCGGGATTATTTCTGTAGGTACAGGAGCAGGAGGCTGCTGGGATACAGCGCTTAAGAGAACTGCTCACTGTCAGACACGTTTGCTCCCTTTCCTACATCAGAAAAGAGGGATAAAATATGCTAAGCAACTCATTCTTGTTAGATCTTTCAAGAGAGCTTATGAGACGAGAGAAGCTCTCAGTTTATTTTTAGGGATGGAAGGAAGCCTTTTTACTTCAGATGCCCAATAAAACAGATTTTAGAAGGAAGGTGGGGCGTCGGAGCTGCTGTAAAGCAGCTAATTGTTTCTGTGCTTGGAAACACGTGAGGAAAACCGAACAACGAGATTGCCGACGATCACATGAGCGTGTTTAAAGTGATGACGTGGAAAACTTCGGTGGGGAAAAGCTGTTTCCACAGCTCTGATGGATGTTAGCTTAATTCAATTATGCTTCTCAGGGTCTGTTTTTACACAAAAACAAGGAAAATCTGATCATTAGTCTTCCTCAGTTTTTCTTGGTAATAGATTTGGTGGCATTGCTAGGAAAATCAACAACTTGTGTATAAATGACACACTTCTGGTCGTCTGGGAATCTCCATGAGCACCAACCTGCGAGGAGAAGGTGCAGACCAGGAAGTCAGTCTGAGACAGGAAGTGGATGTCCAGGATGACGCCTCTCAGGGAGTTCTCTGTGTAACGGTTGTGTAGGCCCGCCGACCACGAGATGGAGTTATCGCTGATGAACTCGTAGTCCGGATACCTGAGGGGCGAACGAGGATCAGCGAGAACAAGGAGGAAAAAGAGAAACGGATTTTCAGATTGAAGCAGAAACCGACTTGTTCTTCGCTTCTTGCAGCAGGGAGGGGTCGTCCGTGGCCAGGTAAACCCGCTTCTTGTCCACCTGGACGCGTCGAGCGAGGAGCTGGAACTGTTCCTCAACGTGGAGCATATACTCCTCTATGGGGTGGAACGCTGCCTCAGTTCCCACTTTATCCGTCCTCCTCACATGGACTCTACAGACAGACAGACAGACAGGTGGAGACACTTGAGTACGAAGTCAGACAGAAGGGATTATAGGTTTTCTATTATACACGAAAAACTGAACAACTTTTAGATAATAATAATAAAAGGTGGATGTGATGACCATCGACATATAAATATGGTGATGACTCATTAATCATAAAATAAATCTGACAACTAGAATTGTTCATAAATATAAACAAACCCTGAATGTAAACATTTTCAGCTTTTCTGACGTTTTGGTTCTTAAAAATGTTATTTTTTCAGATTTGAGTCTGATAACTGAGGAAAAAAAGATATTAACTGCCAATTTGTTCCTAATTTAATGGGAAATGTAAAAATCAAGAAAAAATAAGCTGTTAAATGAACAAGTGCATCAGCAGCACAGATGTTAGGGATGGAGAAGGCAACACAAGTAAAGAAAGATGTCAAAGCTGTGGTTCAAAAAGCTTTTGATACACAAAATAAAAGTTCTAAATATTTTATCTGATCATTTCAGTCACACTGGTAGTTTTTTACCCCTCTGATCACATTTATTTGTAAAAGTTGCTAATGCTAATGGTTAGCTTCTACGAGCTTTGACATTCTCTGCTGTTTCCTAAAACAACAGCCTTCCCCGCCGTGAGTCAAGATGGGTGACTCCATGAATGTTGAGACAGTGTGAAGTAGACCTGTCAGGATTTTCTAATCCTAGAGTTTCACCGTCTGTTTTCTATCAGACGCTGACAGGAGAGAGGTGTAGGAGAATATTTTCATGTTCAGCCTGCATGAACAACTCAAGAGTGACTGATTATAATCAGAAATAATCATTAAATGTGTTTTCAGTGTTCCAAAAGTTTACAAAATAAATAAACTTGTAAAAGTGACGTCTTTACTCATCGATGTATTATTTTCTTAAGTTTTTTTATTTTATTTTAATCAAAGTAATTTTCTGGTACAAATAAAAACAACATTTTACCTTAAATGGCCAATTTTAGGATTGGATTCTTTGTTGATGTAAACACAAAACTGAAAAGGAGCAGAAGATAAAGGCAGGAAGGAAAAGTCGATAATCAAACTGAGAAAGGGAAAGTCACCATCTTCCTTATTGTCTGGTTGTTGCTTCTGGTGAAGAAAAAGCGTGAGGTCACTAGTTACACGTGTGAGGAAAACCAAACAGCTACAAAACAACAAAGAACTAAAAAATCTTCCTTTAATGAAGAATCTCAGAAACAGGAGAAACTCGGTTTTATTCAATCCTAAACAACTCGGTCACAAACTGAACACAACCCCTAAACCGTGACTTTTAGCATTCTCTACTTGATATTCAGTAGTTGGACCATCAGAACTTCCCCATGTGGTGAAGAGTCAGCTGCAGGGCAACATTCACACCCTCTGTCGTTTACTGTTATGGGTTTCAGACAAGCGTGCTCGGCGTTAAGAGAAGCTGGTGTCCAACTCTGCCGCGACATCCATCCCTTTATTTACGTGACAAACATGGCCTACAGAAAGGTCCGTGTGTCTCTGATCGGGCCGAGGTCTCGACATCGGGCTTTGTGAGGTTTTTTTTCCGCTCCTCTGCTTCTTTCATGTCCGGACTCCTTTGTTCCAGTGACCCCTCTTTTTGCTTCGCCCCCTTCTCTTTTCCTCGTCTCATCCCACCGACTCTCTCCCACACAACTGCTACAATAATTCAGTTAATTCCCATCTATTCATACAGTACTGGCAAGGCAGAACACTTGCACGGTGGGCGAAGGAGCATACATTAAAGACACGGAAGACGCCCACGCGGGACGCAGCATCGCGACAAAAGCATATAGGCTGAGATCGACCTCGGGGCGCCTGGCTGTCGATCAGAAGCCCACGAGTACGATGGCAGAAACTCCAGGAGCTCTAATGGTAGCTTCCATTAGAAACCAGCTCATAATTACACACACAAAAGCCAGAGAATCACTGCTTATCCAACGTGACACCGAAGCATGCCAGACGTGTTATTAAGGCTTTTCTTTATTGCTTATAATTACAGATAATGAGAAATTAAAGAAGCAGCCAACACAGAGTGTTTTAATAAGCTGTTTTGGCTACAATGATACTTCGGAGGAGAACCGGCGGATTCAACAAACTGGAAGAGCCGAGATAAGATTTGGTGAGGGGTCCCTCCTAAGTTGGTGTCTGATGACCTAATAGCAGCAGCTGATTCTGATGGAGCCCTTGTGTTCTGTATGGGAGCGCTGGTCATTTATATATTTGCTGTTTATTTCTTTAACCTCTTCCTCCCTGGAGCCCTCTGTAATGGCTCTGGCTGTATTTGTTATAGAAACGCAATGGAAGCAATTTTTCAACAGTGTCCGAGCGTGACAGGTGCACTGAAGGGACCGCAAACTGTTGCTCCGACTGAAATGGATGTAGCGTTTGTGCTTCGGCTCTGCTGCAACAAATTTAGAAGAACGGTTGAGAAGCTCGGGGATCGATGGGACAGGCTTTCGCTTTAATAGACGGATATTCCTCCTCTCTTTACATCTCATTGATATCTGATGGAAACGGTGACTCAGAAAGGAAAGTCCAGTAAGTTTAGAGTCTATCATGAAGGAAAAGCACATGTAATTATCACAGGATCCTGGAGTTCTTCCTAGCTCTATGGCGAGTTTAAATAGTTCCCCGTAAATGAGCCCAACGCCTCCCCATTCCCACTCTTTCCCACACTAACAGAGATCATTTTAGAGTCATTCATTTGACACCTACAAACGTTTTGTAAGACACAGGCATCACAAGTTGTCTAATTCTTCTGTTTCCAGATGAGCGGTAATTGCATATTTTATTTTAAATATTGACCAATAAAGGTTCAGGCTACACAGTGTAGATAAAAGGTTATCTATACTGCAAAGGCTTCTATGTACGTATCTATGTCTACAGCCAACACATGGAGAGACTTGTTAGTGTTTAGGACAGAAAATGTTGGTTTACTGAAGCTGATTTTGCAATATTCAACAATATTTTCACAAATGAATGTTTTCTTAACAGTGTGCTGTTTTAGGTATACGTAATAATAATGTAAGAATAATATTGAAGCTATACTCACATATTTCCTCAGTTTATTGGTTTTTCCTGTAAAAGTTCCATGTCGTGCTACTATAAACCCTTGAAAGCAAATATTACTGTTGGCAATACTGAGATGTCATTTATCTTAAATACAAGTTATTTTCATCAGCCTGAATCGCACCACGCACGCGCCGACAAACCGTGCCTACATCACATCTTGGGTGGGCTAGTTGCTGCCTCGGTTTTGGTAGTCCATTGGTTAAGGCATCTCAGTTTGACCGTGTGCTGGCGCGGGCTCGACTCCCGGTGGTGTCAGCAGTAATTTATTTAGCCAGCTGAAGCAGATTTCATGTTTTTATATTTTAGTTTTATTGATTATTTTCAGCAACACATTTTATGTGTCTAAACATCTTTGAATTTGGTAATTTTCAAGCAGCATTTTAGCCGATTTACTCTGCTCACCTCACATGGACTCACACTAGCTAATGAACAAAGAAAGTAAAAAAATAAATAAAAGCATATTAGTCCTTACATTTTTACAATAAAGAGTTGAAAAAGTTATACTGGGAAGTGCACCACTGCACCTGACAGCAGTCACCTAAGCTACATATCCTGTGCTGGCCATGGGAGGCGGCTTTCACAACCGGATTCAGGGGAGGAAAAGGGCCTGCTGTCGGGAGCTAGTACAAATTTTACATGGCCTGTTTTCATGAACTTCCAAAACAAAATTCAAAATTTGCAGCTGAAACAGGAAGCACATGAATGCAGCCCAAAAATGTTTTGTTTTTAATGAGAAAACAGCAACACCACATGGAAAAAAGCTCCAAAAGGTGGATTTCCATGGCATGACCCCTTTAAGTTCAACAGATGCTTCAATAAGATATGGACCTAAATGGGCTCTACTACAACATCAAAGAAAACGTACAACAAAAAAAGTTATGTAAAAAAATTAAAAGTTGAATTTCATAGATAACGTATAGAATCTGTAATGCAGTACTTGAGTTATGGGTTGGTGATCTTGCCTCGCACAGTTGCCGTTGGAGACCAGCCCCAGAAACTCTGAACAGGAACAAGCGAGAAGAAAATGGATGAGTGGACTAATGAGGAGTTCTGTGTCTTTTCTTAAAGCTCTCAATATGTTTGTGGATCCCACTCATACAGAATCTGTCAACGCAGAACGATAGGTCAGACACGGACTGTGGATTTGGCTGTCTCTGTAACAGATGCCGCACTTCCCTCATTCTCTCGGACTATTCTGACCATTACGCTGCTTTAAATTGTTGATTGTCGGATCTCGGCTGATTGCAGCTTTTAGTTTACGGCTTTCAGCCGTCCTGCATCCCGGGTCTAAAGGGAACTGAATGCAGAGAGTGATGGTGATGGCTGATGCACTCTGGGGTTGGCTGATAGTTGTTGGGTCGTTTGGGGACAACTTGTCTTTCTGTATCGCTCCCCATCGACTCTGTCCACATCCACCATTGCTGCTCTACCACATTTTCTTTGCACCGCCTCCAAGACTTTCTTTGAACCCCACTTTTACAGCCTAACCCCCCCCCCCCCCCCCCACACACACACACATGCCAGTACCGCTTAACCCTTTAAGACCCAACACATGAAATCATAATCAAAAGACTCAATTTTAAACATTTGATTGGTAATGATAATTTAACAATGATTAACTTTCATATTCCATTTATCAAGCAATTCTATAACAATACAACAATAATTACTAAATAAAAATCCCACATGACACTTAAGTACATAAATAATCCAAGAGCAGGCAGATAACCCTTAAAAGTTTTAAGACTGCAGATTGTTTTGGAAAAAGCTAATCTTGCTAAAGAGATACAGCTACTACAAACTCAGAAATGTGTGTATCACATACGATACATTGGGCCGTGTTTAATAGCAGCACAAATGCACTTAGCAGCAGCATCGGTGCAGAGTGGAGTGGCTGTATCTAGAGCCGAGAAGA